CAACGGCTACGAATTATGACTACGTGATGGGATCGGCACAACTCATCATTTCAGTAATTTTTTACCATCCCCCTTGCTGTCAATATTTACCTGCGTCGCCAAATTCGTTCAATTCCCCCTCTATCGCTTAAGGATTATTATTATATCAAATGCCAGGGGTCTTGATGGTTATCATTAGCCCTTTAGTTGACATTAGGCTTCACAGACGAGAAGGAACATCAAATTGAAAAAAGTCGAGAGGGGAGGGGGGAACAGAAGAATTTTTCAAAGATGTAAAAGAGACAAACATAAAGGTAGAAAAAAGGTGAGGCGAGTACTATGGAAGTAGTCGAATATGACATATAGTGGGGTGATAGTAGTTTGAAATGAGAAGTTTATATTTATTTATATCAAATGGCAGGCGTCTTGATGGTTATCATTAGCCCTTTAGTTGCCTTCAGGTTTCATAGAGGGGAAGGAATATCAATTTGAAAAAAGTCGAGAGGGGGAAGAGAGGAGTGTTTCAAAGATGTAAGAGACGAACACGAAGGTAGAACAAAGGTGAGGTGAGTACTGTAAAAATAGTCGAATATGGCATAGAGTGAGGTGATGGTAGTTTGAATTGAGAAGTCAACCGCCAGTTAATAGACTTTTTCGCCGTATGAATATACGTTGCCCAGGGTGCACCACGTGGAGGTAAGTCTATCGCACACCCCTTGAAGTGAGAAGTCAACTGCCAAATAATAGACTTTGTTGACGTATGAGTATACGTTACCCAGGGTGCACCACGAGGAGGCAAGTCTATCGCATACCCCATCGCTTAAGCATTAATTTCGACCTCCCAGGAATTTCGGGCAAGATGTCAAATGAAAATTATGCGAAGGTCCGCACTTTAGTATTCCCCTTATCTACTGATTTAATCAGCATTCATTTCATAACCCATCATTTCAATTTCAGCCGATTACTCATCAAACAGCCCATATAATTTTAAATCTTTGCATTCATTCAACGTGAAAAATTTATATTAATTAAACGAAATTGAAACACTGGCTTAATTTAACCCTCCAAGCAAACAACTCGTTAATGGATCATTTTTAACAAGTTGGACAACAATTTCAAAGTGGAGTTTCGAAAATTTAAATTCGAGAATCGTAATTTACCTTGAAGTAACGCAGCCAGTTTAAAATAGACAGTTAATTTCATTGAATTGTAGGAACCAAGAATAGGCAGGTAACCAAGGACACAAAAGTTGTGAAATGTTGGATCGCACTAAAAGAACACAGTTATGCACTCTACCTACAGCCTTACAAATTACTTTTCAAAAACTCGTTAAGAAATTTATCTTATTTATTTATATCAAATGACAGGCGTTTTTTATGGTTATCATTAGCTTTTTAGTTCACTTCAGGCAACACAGAAGGGAAGGAACATCAAAGTGGGAAAAAGTGGAGAGGAGGGGGGAGGGAGGGAGGAACAGAAGAGTGTTTCAAAGACGAAGGTAGAAAAGGTAGAAAAAGATGAGGTGAGTACTGTGGAAGTGGTCGAATATGACATACGGTGGGGCCATTGTAGTTTGAAGTGAGAAGTCAACTGCCGAATAATGGACTTTTTTGCCGTATGAGTACCACGTGGAGGTAAGTCCATCGCACACCCCACTCGTAAAGAAAAAATATTTCCTTTTCCCATCTCCGAAAAGTCTACTTTAGCTCTCCAAAAGACCGCATCCATATTTTACACAGCTCATGCTTCAGCACCCAAAAATGCGTATAAAGGGCGCCCGGACCTTGTTCATTTCCAAATAATCGTATACTGCGAAAATTACGATTTATATACAAGCAAAAGACTATGTTGCATAAAATACTGGTTAGTAACCAATTAATTGATCTAAAATGTAAAAGCGGTGTTAATTTAAGTTAGACGCTTTCTCTTCTTAATTTCATTTTTAATGTACTTTGAAAGTTCTTAGCCTTCGTTTGTGGTTCGTGAATTACAGGTATCCAGGTGTTGACTGTGAGAAATTACAGTACTATTTAAAAAATCATGAGTAAATTTTTCTGGAACAGAACTATGCCCTGGTGGAATAGCATCCACGGTGGAAAACAAGTTGAATTGAAATATCATCCAACCTCAAACCATAGTCCTCGAGAAATTAGTCAAATTTCTGCTAAATTTAACTCAAGAAATATTTTGAAATTGATTTTTTGTAACTTAAACGACACAAGATGCCCTCATAGTTGCTTCACAAAACGTTTGCTCAAATCAAACAAATGTGGCACTATGCGCAGAAATATCTGTTGCGGATTCTCACCTAGTAAGCCTTGACTTTACTTAGTTGGATACTCCTATATTTATTAACACTGTCAGAAATAGCAAAGCTACAACAAAAATACGGATTAAATGGACGTATGGGGTTGAATGCGTTTATTGGGTTTGGCGTGCTGCGTGCTATTTAAAGTTAGCCTTCATATATATATATATATATATATATATATGATAACTACGTAATGACTTTGATCGTTGATTTGTCGTCCTGGTTTCGGTCATTGATTGGTCAAAAGGCTTCTGCTCTTGTCATGCTCAAATTGTTCTCCCACATATAGCTTTTGACTGTAAAATAACGAAAGAGTTCCACTATTTGTTATCTATTGAAATTAGAGTTTTAGCTAATTAATTATTTTTAAAAAGGAAAATATGAATTGGTGATGTTCCTGGAATTTGTGCACAAAAAAGGCATTTATTCACATATTTTCTAGCTTGTGAATCGTCATGGTACAACTCTTTTAATAAGCGACAAGTTGGTAGAATAAGTTGAATTGGATTCGCGAACAGAAGATACGATTAAAGTAGTAACTCTATGATCTAATAAATTAATTAGTAACTGATTAATAATATTAACTTTTCTATCCCGAGATTGAAAGAACCTTCGGACGCACTTAGTTCAGCGTACCAAAGTGTCCAACTTTTTTAGATCTTGCGATTCGGACTTTTCGACTTCTTTTGCGCTGTTCAGTTCAGCAGTTCACTTTCTCAAAACTAGCCATAACGCAATTATTAAAACAATGTAAGATAGCTGAGCTGCGTGAGTTGTGTTCGCCCAAGGCTAACAAACAAAACATCAATTTTGCACAAAACGCGTTGTTCATTTAAACGCCTTTTATAATAGTTTGCATAAGCATCTTCAAACCGACATGCAAAATAGACCACATTTAAATCATTTTATTTCAATAGTGAAATTGTCCTATTGAAATAATGTTTGAAACTCATCCCACCTCTAATTTCAAAAGCCATTCCCATTTGGCTCGTAGTTGTGACGTTGCCGAGAGCTGGATGATCCATATTCGAGGCAAATTCATTGCATCCAAAGATATACTTTTTTCAGCTCCATTTGTTCTACCAATGCAACCATTTATGTGATACCTGCTTTTAACCTGTAAAATAATCAGAGGAGAATTCCCCTTTGTCTATAATATGTCAGAATTCTAATTATAAGGACTAGTTTGACAAGATAGTTTCGGGAAAAATTCATGGCTGTTTCTTTCCAGAACCTTCGAAATGTGTGGACACTCTGCGTGGGTGATAATTGATTGAAAAAAACAACTGATTTTAAATTAGGACTACTCAATTTCCTTATTGGTGACTGGATGATATGTTGAAAACAGTAACATGAATTTACCAGATACCGAGTGTGTTCGTCTGTTTTTATTTTCACTTTTCATTCGGGTTTCAAGAAAAGAGTGTGTGTGTGAGAGAAAGAGAGAGATTGTTTGTCTCAAAAGAAAATTCGTTCTATTAACTGTAGAAATATGCAGACACAGATTCGTCATCATTATCATCATGAAATATGGAAAGTGAGAAAGGATTCCATGAGGCCGATAAATTAGAGAACTGGTGAATGGAAACTTGACTCGTTGAATCTTACTTTATCGTGAAACGAAGCTGCTGCTCGGTGCATATGGTTCGTTTGTCGATTTGAAAATTCGCTGTTATGTTCACGTTATTCATCCCTACTTTGTTTTATACATGCATATGTTTATTTATATCAAATGGCTGGCGTCTTGATGGTTATCATTAGCGAAATCTAAATAGAATTTCAATATCGAGATCCTCGTGGATATGTTCACTAAACATTGTGAATCACTCTTCTGTCCTCCCCCCTCCTCTCTCCGAACCCCGAAATCCACTAAAGGGCTAGTGATGACTATCAAAACGCCTGCCATTTGAAATAAATAACTGTTCTAGGAGTATTCTTGAAAACCCATTGTACTGTTCAAATCGGTTTGAAATAGTGTGACATTCAATTTCGTCACTGGATTTTGCAGTTATGGATGCTTTTTTTGGATGTGCTTGGTTAAAAGGATTCCGTCATGTACAAAACATGGTAATCGATGGTCCAATTACAGAAAAATGGGTTTATGAAAATTGAGAAAGTGGTTGTTTGCCGGTTGCAATGTCAAGCAAGTTTCGTGCAGTGGAAACCACAGAGGGTCACCTTTCATGTTTCTGCTGGGGAACTTTATTAAATATGTTATTAATAAAAAGAGGATGACGATATGTCGTAGGTCAATGAAAACGAACAGACAATGTTAGCTAAAGGAGTTCTATTAATGACAGTTCTTTAAATCAAATCATAATCATTATTCATCACAATGACAAGGATTTTGGAGTCAAGTAATGTCAGTGTTGTCAGGAGCTTTAGACAACATATCGATTGATCCATTGTGAAACGCTCTCCACTGAATTATAGATCAAGTGCTTATGCTTGCAGTATCGAAGAGGTTCAGATCCCAACACGCCGTAGACGTACCATTTACGGTCTACTTCGTTTCGACAGAAAATTCCTGCCCCCGTATCTCCTGGACAAACACCCTAAAATGTGAAAGGATTTCTCTTCAAATTGCAAAAATACGTGGTTTATGAAGCATACATATATATGAGGTAATAGTTCAATCATTCAACCATGTTTACCTTTTCTGAACTTCCAGCACAGATTTGGACGTTATTTTCCTCTTCATCATCCTCGAAACAACTCTCTGGGGATTCAATACTAAGACGAATTTGTTTCAATGTGTCTGGTTTCTTTTGGCTACGTTCTCGCTTGCCATAAAACCAAAATGGAATGTAAGCCCAGTGGGATATTCTTCGAGGAGGTTTAGTTTCTCCCCATCCCACAGTATAGCAAATCGCATCTTCTGGTGGTGGAGAAGCCTTCTCTTTTGGCAAACAGGCCACTCCAACGTCGGAGTTTTCTAAAATTGTAATTTAGCAATAAATCTTACTTGAACTATTTCTCTAGCATTATATACATCTTAATGAGTGCATTTACCAATGTCTACAGGCTTTGCCAGCTTTAGAAGCGCGATATCATATGGGCTGTTGCGTCTCTGGGCTACCCATTCTGGATGAATTAATGCTTGAACAACCACATGATCACTTTCTTGTTCATTTCGTTCTCGTGTACCCTCGAGAACACTGTCCCCAGCGCGTACGAGCATTGAAATTGGCGCCATTTCTGTTGTGTTTAATTCAATTGGAACTCCTTGTTGCATGCCAACTGCTGAACCCAGAATTGGTTTCAAGCAATGAGCTGCTGTTAGAACCCACTTAGGAGATATTAATGTTCCACCACAAATGATATTGTTGGCTTTGAGACGTGTTAAACCCTCGGATTCATTATAGTTAGCAGCCTTATAGATTCCAACCTACGGAAGGAAGACAAGTGTTTTCGTGAAAAAATTAAGATCATAATAT